TAAGAGAAAGGAAACATAAAAATTCGTTCTCTTTGCTACAATTGTAATATATATATTTCAATACTATCTACTTTATTTCTTAAAAGAGTATTTTTAGAAGAAATTCTTCATTGATTTTGCATGGCAATGCAATTGTTAACAATTTTTATCGATGTTTTTCAAAATAATATATAATAATTATATTTGGTAGTTCTTAAGACTTGTAAAAATATTAGCTGAATAAGTTTTCTTTAAAAAAATATTTCAGAGTTATAATCTTGAAAAATCAGATACAATTTTTTTAATATGAGAAGTAAATGAACATTTTCAAAAGCTTGATTTTAGCAAATGTTTTCGTCTCCATTTTCTCTTCAGTCAAACGCTTTGAGGTACGGGTTCAACTTAATAAATCCGTGGGAAAATTGGTATGTTTCCATATTATAAAAACAAGATATCAATCATTGGCATGGCCAAGTAATTTTAGCGCGTTTTTCGCATGTTGTATTTTACAATAATGCAACTAATGAATTTTTTTACTAACAAAAAAGTAGTACTATACTTAAAAAAAAAAGTTAATTTGAAAAAAAAATTACTTATTAAATTTAAATATGATTCGGCTTATCTAGGGCACAAATGCGACCCAATGCCGAAAAACCCGAGGTCAATCGGTTAATTATTGGCTTGAGAAAAAGGTACGACAAAATATGGAACGAAGACGAAATTTGCGTCCTAATAGCGCTTTTTTTTTTTTACACCACGTGAAAAACGCGCTAAAAAGGGGATTCCATATTATAAAAAAGGCGGATTCCATATTGTACAGGGGGATTTAAGGGGAGGGGCTTAAAATGTTAAATTTAATTTTTTCATTATTATAATAAAGGGTACCACACAAAAATGATAATAGTCATAGTATAATACCCCTAGAAATGTGTTTAAAGCAGTATATTTAAAAATCATTAGAAGTATCAAACAAATTACAAAGATTTCAAAAGAAAAAAAAAACTGAAAATATTTGTTAAATAATAGATAAAATATAAATTTACAAAAAAAAAAAACTTGCAATGAAAGAATAAATACTTTAATTAAATCTACTCAATGAAGCTTAGTTACAAAATAAATGTATATGTGAGAAAATCATCAAAAAGTGTTTTTTTTTTAAATTTATTTTTTATTTTAATTGAATGGGAAATATCAAACAAATCAAAACCACAAAAACTTTTATTAACGGAAGAGTACAACGCAATCCAATTATTCAATGGAACTTTTAAAATGGACTGAGAATCCTAGAAAAACATCAAAAATACACAATTAAAATTGTTTCTCCAATGCTTTTATGTGAAATTATTCTGCATTGTTAACAACATCAGATTTAATTAGTATTTTATTCCAATACTCGCAAAAGCAATTCATTTGTATCGAATACATATTCCATTACGTGACACTTAATGAATCTTTTCAGCATTATGAATGCATACTTTTACTGAAAATAAATACAAATCAAAACATTATACTAACCTCCCGTTTATTTCAAATTCAATAAAGTGAATTCATTACCTAAAATGCAAGTAGGTATTTTATTTATTTACTGTGATAAAAGATTAAATTTACTCAGAATTTTCATTTGGCATGAAATATAAATCACAGTATTGTGTTGAGGAAAGATCTTGGATTTAAAACAGAGACAGAATCACTTCAATTTAATTCAGGAATGAAAGTATTTTGTTATTGCATGAGATATGCATTTAGGAATGCGAATAAATGCAAGGGAATTCGAAATAAGGTCACACATCGGCAATCTAAATATAATCAAATTGATAAATTCATCTAATCAAATTTAAAATACCACGCAGTTACACTAATTAGGCACTAATTCTAACATTTTATGATGTTTACAGTAGTGTAGAATATTTATATCTCAATATGAATGCTAACAGAGAAATATTTTCAGTCATTTAAATTTCTCCATAAAGAGATTTCAAAAATCCTTCAAAAGTACCTAAATACAGTTTTTAAATCATTTCTAAAAATTATCTGCCATATTTTTCTTTTATTTCTGATTCAATTTTTATTAATTTTGATTCAGGCAGGGCACTAGCTGAATAAGTAAATCAAGGGAAAACAAATCGATTTTTAACAGAAGCATTGTCGGTGACAGCCTAATGTATGAAGCATGGTAAAGTCCTAAAGACGGCAATTGTGCTGGCATCCCACTATACTGTGTGATAGTATATAATTCTATATAAACTTCCACATTGTGGTAACGTAGAGATCGGAGTCTTGAGAGGTTGTCAAAACCATCTCGCTTAATTTCGTTCAAAAAATGGCATATCTTCCTTCATGATGCAAACTATTTTCTTTAAAGCGGTTCAGTAAAAATACATTTATAATCCTAATAAACTACAGAGAAGCTTTTCCTAAAATATTTAATTGGAAAATGATATAAATTATTTTAGTCATAGCCTAAAATCTAGCATTTTACAGGAATAATTCAAATAAAAAAGGGAAAATTGAAATCGAATGCCTTGAAACTCCAGTTTCATCCAGCTAATATTGGAAGGGATACTTTCTGACATTCGCGAAGTTAATTTCCTTTCCAACTATCCCGAAATAGATTGTATTCTTTTTAAATTATTGCACCCTTTTATTACTAAATTCTGTTTAACTACAAACATTTTAACAATGCCAGCTCTCATTTGATTTCTTCTTTTAAAATTTGTTTCGATATTATTTATTTTATATAGTATTAATATCATTATCTTATACTGTTATTGTTCATAAAAATTCATATGAATTTATTATTCATTACATTTAAAATTTACATACTGCATTTTATTGTTAAATTTCTGTCATAGTTTACGTTAGTTCTCAATAAAAAGTAGTTTAAACCACAAGAACTATACCATACGATCGTCTGCCGAATTCAGAGAATTAATTTTATAATATAACCATGCATTTGTAGACCGTGGTCTATACTGAGCAAAAGAAACTCCTGTCAAAGAAAACAAGAAGAAGCTACAAGAGCCATGAGCCAAGAACCAAGGTTGCCTTAGTTCTACAAGATGGACCAAGTTTCCGAAATGTGTTAAATTTACCCATTATGCGTGTAAAAAATGTGGCTGCCGAGCAAAATCCAAGATTTGCTTCACAAAGTTCCGTCTTTTGAAACTTAAATCTTGCCACAGTGCAGATTAAATCCAGTGTTAAGTATAACAGTACAACTAAGTATAACAGTAACTTCAGTGTTGCCTTAAGGCAACTGCTTTGTTTTGTAATTTTCTTCATAATCATTTTTTTTAAATAAAAATTACGGAAATAAATGCATATTTTTATTTTATTTATTTATTTATTTCCGTTACTGTCTCGAATCTAAAAAATCAAATAAATCCGAGTTTATAAATGACACACACCAAGGCATAAATTATAAAAAAAATTCCTAAAAAGATTTCTAGATTTTTTTAAGCAAAAAAAAAAAAAAAAAGTAATTTAAGTGTTATTTTTTTAACTGCAGCTTTGATTTGTAAAATTTTAATTAAATACAAAAATTACACGATGGGGGGGGGGAGATGGTGAACGCGTATATTAGCCTTGTAAAAAACGAATAAAAAACACCTAAATTGTCTCTAATCTACGCACCATAAACAAGGCAATGGAGTCGACGATAAAAACTCGCCAAAATTTCTTCAAAAACATTCGATAGAAGCTGTTGTAGTCTTGGCTAATCTGCGTTTGAGAGAGTGAAAAGAACAGGTCAGAGCAACAAAAAGTGCCTCCTCAGCTACTTCTAACCGACAATCTGCGAAATTAAACTTCGCGCAAAATATGCGCTCGATTAAGTTTATACCACACAGGAGGGAGAAAAAAAAAAGCAGATTTCAGCAAAATTTTATAACGCGTCATTCCCCACTCTTTCGCAAAAGGAGGATTAATTTCAAGCACGAATGAGTTAACATTTCTGCAGCAAACTCAACCCTCAACAGTGAGTGATTTTGAAACGAATTTTCAAAGTAATTGAAACCCCATGACGTTGAAGAAGAGAGTGCTATTTTAGTTTCTTTTTGCGCACGTCACTTATTATGAACTATTCCGAAAACCATCAAGGGAAAATGGCCGACTCGCGTTAGAGGCAAGTTTTTTAATTAATTAAAAACTTGCAGGAGTTTCTTAACAGTTATACATAACTCTCCCAGGTAAGTCTAGTGTTCTAAGGATCTCCAACTTAATAAAAGTGCACACTTTATTTCTGAAAGAATATATGTTTCATCTAGTATTTTTGAAAAATAAAATTGAGATATTTTCAAGAAAACTCATTTTAAAAGACGCCGAAGTATAAATTTATCATATTTAAGGGGCTACAATCCCCAGGGCATATTTTTAAAATTACTTAAAAGTCTTTACTGTCACAATTAAGCTTGATTTAATCAGTTGCTTAAAAGATATAATTAATAGCGTTTTTTTAAATTATTTTAATGCCTAATAAATATATTATCGCTGTTCAGTAATAGTTTACCAGATACGGATTAAGCTTCAATGCGTTTGGAAAACAAAATAGGTCCTTAAAATATAATAAAAAATAATTAAAATACAAAAAAATCACTACGATATTACAACTATCACTCTTTTTTTAATCTTAATTCGGGGATAGTGATGATGATAAATTTAATTTGTGTTGAACAAGGTACTCTACGAGAGCTATTGGCTACGGACCTCGTAATTTTGAACCTCGGTCAAGTGGCGAGGGTGACACTTGAGCTGGGCACCCTCTCCAAATTTCCATACCACGCCAAAAGATTTCTAACTTTTGAATTTTTAAATTGTACAATTTACGCATATAATTACAATTTTCAAATTCAGGTAAGAAAAAAAAATACAAAGAACCATGTTTCTCACATTCTTTTTCTTTTAACGGCTTTACTGTTGTATAATTAATTACACAATTTCTATACATACAATAATATAATAAAAATTCTAAACGCAAAAAATTAGCTTAGTATTTAGGATGCAAAATAAACTATAGCCACCCGGCCAGTATGGTGGACATGACCCTCGGTTTTTAACCGAGTGGGCTCGGGTTCGAATCCCGAATACGGTATGGATGTAATCTTCGGGAAAAGAAGTCGGACTTGCGACTGAAATGAATTTCCGTCTCGAATAGAAAGCAGCGCACCCCTTCTGTTGTATGCTGGGATCAGCATTTTTAATAAAATGTCCATACTTTTTCTGTGTTTGTAATGCATGTCTTTGTCCTTCCTCTCTCGTCTCCATATGTATATCACGGCAAGAACAACAAAATAAATTATAATAACGAAGATCAATTCAAAAAATAGAATAAATATAAATTAAGCATACTAGCCAGAACTGAGCTTTATGATTTCAACGATTAGAAGCTAAAATACATTACTTAAAATCAGTAACATCTCTACCAAATAATCTTCTTAAATGAGTGTTCTTCAAATAAAAACAGGTAAGTATCGAAGAAATAGTAAATGCGAACGGTTCAAAAACAATACTAAAGCGGTTGAGGTTTAGCACTCTTAAAATCAGTTATTGATATGGTCATCTTTTGCCACTTTGAAACAAAAGTTTGTTCCGGCTGTTTTGATGGCTACTGGTCACGAAACTCACCAACATCAAGAAGGAGAAGAGTTGTGCGGTTACGTGCCTTCGTTTTAAGTGCAAAATCGTTTGCTTCACATAAGATTGTAGTTACGGTAAAAAGGAAAAGAAAAAAAAACTAGATATTAGGAACTGTTTTTATCCATGATCGTTTTTATTTTTGCCCATGGAAGTTTTATTTTCTGAATCAGATGTGTTGTGGATATAAGTTCCCTTCTCCGAAAAACAAAAACATGTTGTTGTGGAAACGGCAGAAACCGCACGAATGAATGTGATAGAAATTATTTGAAATTTCTTGAATAGCATAGGAAGGAAACGAATTCATAGCATTGAAATATTACTTATAAAATTCGTTAAAAAAAAGCCTTTAATATTGCCGTTTATAAAGTACAAGCCCAATGTGTGTGCGTGCGTGCGTGTGTGTGTGTGTGTGTGTGTGTGTGTGCGTGCGTGTGTGTGTGTGTGTGATATTTGTAACTTTCATCTATAATACAACTTCAAATACTTCCATACTTTTTCGTACATTAAAAAATAACAATAACATATTCATAAGTACAAGCACATTGTGTGTCTAGTAATACGAAACTAATTTTCAATAAATAGAACCAAGCATTTAAATTATAAATTGATCAATGTTAATGAGTACGGGGAAAGGGAAGCGCATAGATTTTGAAATTAATATTCAGTATTTAACACCTATCTCCTTTAATGTGCAATCTTTTCATATTCGTAAGGAAAATTAAGTCATTAAAAGAAAATGTTTTCACTTTTTTTCAAACGCTCTCTTCATCCCAAAAAGAGGGGCGGGGCTCCAATGGACATTCCTCCCACCAGGAGGAAGGAAGTGCCAAAAGGGGAGACAGGGTATGAGAGCGATTTGGAAGATAGAACAATTTGTGATGTGCTGTTAATCACACGCATTTTAAGAGTACCCGCTTAAAATGTGTAAGAAACATAGTTAATACAGTCCAAAGGAGTTGTTCTGTTTTAGATTCTTGTGATTTTACACAATTATAGAATAACCACTTTTAAACCCATAAAAGAAAACAAATTAAAATGTTTCATTTTTACAGTAAAAAACTTTGTACAGTTTGGTGGAAATATAGGAAATAAACATAACTGTAACCGAGAGCGCCACATTTTCCCGCGTTTCCTGTCACGATTGCAAATTTCCAGTCTCGTAGAATGGGGCATCACTATCGTAAACAGGAAACGCACAAAGGCAATGTCTTTTCGCCTTCTTTAAAAGGCAACCGCAAAAAAATGTATAAAATTAAACAAAAAAATAACAATTAAAAATGTATTATCTTCACTTTTCTTCAAGCGTAGAATTTATTGAAATCAGGAGCCATAGCTTTTTCTACATATATTGAAACTTAGAAAAACTTAAAAGATAATCTGAAGCTGGTCGAAAACAGAAAAAAATAGTATTTTAATATTTAATTTCCCATCCAGTAGTTAATAAGTATCGTATAATCCGGCGTATAAAGCGCACTTTTAAGACGAAATTCGCATCAAAATTTATGCGTGCGTGTTATACGCTGGGAAAAAATTATATTTAAAAAAATAAATAGAAGATGAGAGTAAAAATTAGATTATATGTAAAATGTATATAAAATGGAAATGGGCATACAGTTTAAAATTTGTTATTGAATAACATGAAAAGTTTGACATATATTTGTCTTCCGTTATACTTTCAGGCACACCATTGAATTCTGTTCATCTTCACCATCACTGTTATTCTGATTCATTAACAAATAATCATTTTCCGTTCCATCTAGATTGTTAGATAAGCTACATTTTTAAATGACTTTTAAATTATGTCACGTTTAAATTCGCAGTCCATGCATTTTACCATAGTCAAAACAATATCTCTCAGCTAATTGCAAAAAGTATAACTTCGAGACTTGAGACAGCTTTATTTTAAGCTATTAGCACATTTTTTTTCAACGGCCACGGTTCACCATTTAATGCTTAGAGTTACATAATAGTCTTTCTATACGAAAATTTGGTTAATAGGCTAATCAAGTAAATACGTCGAACTCTTTAAACTGTGCACGGAACAAATGTTGGTTTTACAAAAATGCGCGCGGTTTATTGTCCACTTACTCGCTATTTCTAGAACGGTATGACGCATTTGGCCTCTGTTGTAAATGTTTATTCCAACCTTCTAACGCCTCTTTTCTTGCGCTTTAGGCTTTTAGTTCTAAAAGAACATCATTGTTTAAAAGCCTGGTATAATACTTTGAATAAATGGTTTCAAAAGATAAGAACATTTCACATGGAAAATCAGATTTCCTTGAAAAAAAGGAGGGTATGCATAAAAGGCAAATATATCTAAAAATTAATTTTATATATATATGAATTATTTGAAAGTATAGGTGAGAGTTATACGCCAGTGATTGTAACACGCCGGAATATACGATAATTGATCATCAAACTAATAAAATATTGCTTCATGGAACAAATTACCATGTATTTAAAATTACCAAATATTAAAATAAAACATTTGCATTCTAAATTCGAGTTATGTACATTGCTATGCAATATCATATCAATGCTATACACAACAAAACGATAAAAAATAAATAAAAATGAGGTGGGACAAGTTGAATTATTTCAAAGAAAAGAATATTAATGTATAATCGCTATAAACTAAGTTTTAATGTATCCGACTACTTGAGACAACTTCTTTTTAAAAAAATGGTGGTATGGGGATTTCTTTGTAGTGGTTTTTAGATTTGTTTAGTACATTTTAACAAAAATATGCTAAAATTAAGAGAAAATAAATTATTATTACTAAAATTGGGAGGAGGGATTAGTAAAAATTTATAAAAAATAACACAAACGGGGCCATTCTGTACTAAAAGTTTAAAAACAAATTTTCAATTTTTCAATTCTGATGTTTTGTTAGGTTATTCATTTTTTAAATGGCCTTCAAGATAAGAGATATTTTAATTTTTACAAAAACTAGAACACTTTATCTTAGATATTATATGAAATTGCTTAAAAAAAACAGTGATCATATTCACATAAGGGACTGTAAATCTTGCAATAAAACAGTGATTGATAAATCTGATGGTCACAGCACCTCTATTTTTATACAGAACATACACAACAAAAATTTAAGTTAATTATTTTCAAAATTTTTTGAGCAATTCGCTGTCCCCGTTTGAGCATTTTCGAAAAAAAACACGTTTTAAATAAAACGCACTTTAAAATATGATGTCTTGGTTAAAGTAATGAAATCTGCTTTTACTGAAACACTTGTAGTTTTTGTTCTAGTGAATAGAAAATAATAAAATTGGTACTTTTGTAAAGCTAATAAGATGGCCTATAAAATAACATCAGAAACAAATTGACAATTTTTGGCAAAATTCACAATTTTAGGGTGGTCGAATACCTTAAACAAAGAAAAGAGCCCCCGTTGACCATATGTACCTGTACAGTTGCATTCGATAAAATCATTAGATAAAACCAATATCGGATTGCTCTATTCCACATCTTCTCGAAAAAAAACAAGAGATACTTCCAAAATGTTTCTTACTCATCTGGGCCATCCAACTGAGAACAAGTTAATCTTCTTATCTAGTTTAGCGACAGATCGCACAAGAAAGGATAGACGTTAGGGAGGATACATTATTTTCTTTGGGATATCCTTAAGGGTCACGTATTCTCCACGAAACAGTTCAGATTGTCAGGGAACTGTCATGGTGGACTCACGGTGCTGTTCCCTTCCCCCTCATCTTTGTCTGAGATTTTTACCAGTGTAGTTATTGTAGAGGTGACAATATTACGTTTTGAGAGCAGTTTTTGATTTGATTTTTCTTTATGTGACAGTGAACGCTTCAGTGAGATTCAATTTGATTGGATGGACGATTGTTTACAAAATAAATAAAACTTTGAACAATAAAACAATAAAAATTGGAATTAAATTACCCGATAGGAGAAATGTGTCACAATGTTCAGAATTCTTACAGAATTAAGTAATTTAATGTATAGTAGTTTTAAATTATACAAAGATTTAATTGTAAGGTACTAAATCAATTTAAAAATATTATTAAGAGATGTATTTTATATATATAAGGAAAATAGTTAAAAAAAGAATTTTGATTTCATATAGAACAATTTGCGGCCAACACACAAGACTTTAATCAATTTCAATCAATCTAAAAAGTACAGCAAACACTTCTACAGAATATATTAATAATGTATTTCGTTAACTATAAAATAAAATAATGCCTGAACTCCAGCATTAAATAAAGTAATTATGTACAAAACATACAAATCCAAAATAGTAGCATCATATTCAATTCATAAAAAAAAATTAAAGGAAAAAAAAACAGAGGCAAGAAAATTTATTAAAAAAATTGCTTGTACTGTTATGTTTAAATGAATTTAAAAGAAATAGCAACAAAAATATATATAGAGAGAAAAAAAAACTGTAAATCATTGGTAGTTACATTTTAAAAATAA